CTTGTTCTAAACATTTTAACGAGACTTGATAATGTGAACTAGTACCATAAATAAAGCAATAATTTTCTTACAATGTCATTTTGTATATTAATATACAAAACGGAAATCTGTCGATAATTATGTAAATTACAAATTCAAATCACTTACCGCGACAGAATTCATTGTTAATAGCATTTTTATCTTACCACAGACTATTTACACAACGGACTATTTAACATTTTCAAGAAATATCAATGGAATAACAAAGGAAATGTGTTTTTCTCTTCTACATTACCTACTAATAGTCGCAATCTACCATTATACTTCTAATTATAGTTCCGGCAACGATAATTTCAGTGTTACAAGTTATTATAACGTAGATGTTACCGTTCGCTTGCAATGTTTATCGGTGATTCTGAATTTTTAATAGATTCGTAACAAAAATAGGCTTCGCTCGATTGTTATTAATTTCAATAAATAATGAACGGTTTATATTGTGTGTGTTTATTGTGATTTTAATATTCTATAAATATGTAGAAGGAACTCACTGGAAAATCAATTATTCAAGTTCTTTAGCTGGTTCATTTAAAAAAGACGAATGCTGTCAAAAATATACATATACTTAAATAACTTTAATATCATACACATTACTCTTGTAATAACATTCAAGTTGCTTATAAACTCATAGTTTTTTTAATAAATATATGTAGCAATTTTTGCGAATACAAACCGTCCCCAGTCAGCCCCGGGCCTCTTGTCGTGGGGCCTCCGAATAGCTGCAAGTTCTCTTGATCAAATCATAAATGGGAGTCTTATTTTTCTAAAAATCACACTGCCTTATCTTTCATATGCCCAGTTTTATAGTTTTAGTAGGCGTCTTAGCAGGGGAGTTTGTAAGCGTATTATTAAATTTTGGCACAGGTTAGAAAAAGTTGTAGGTCCAGACCTGATGCCGCCCGGGCCCCAATGGGTTTAATCCGCCACTGCTTTAGGGTTTCCATTGTCTTGTAAGAAAAATAACGCAGTGGGTAAATTACTATTTTTTTTAATACAAATAACTATACCTACAGGTAGAACCTTGGTAAACAAGCCATTATCACTTTCATCACAAGTTGTTATTATTGTTTTATTTTTCCTTCCAATTTTTTACTCACTTCATAAGCCGTGATGTACACTTGACATTATAAGACATTGTTTGGTTTGGTAATTGCTTTTATGTTTTAGAATATTTTGTTACGACATTATTAGTTTATATAGAAGTTGATTTTATTCTATGCTTTTTATATTCGAGTGTATCAATAAATTCTTAATGATAATAAATTTGATTCAAAATTATTTTAAACTAGCTGACCCGACGAATTTCTTCAAAATTATGTATGGGAAAGTCAATAATTGCTTTTACTATTTTCTTTTCGATGTTTCCATATTTTCTTACGTTATAAGCATTCCTAGAACTTGTACTTATATTGAATAAGAAATTAGTCATATCAGCAACAATACAAAATCTAAAATTTAATTTTTTAGGTAATTTTATTAACATAAAATTAACGACGTAGTTTATTGTTAGATGACGCCTATTATGTGTAAAACAAATATCACCCTTTCCCACAAGGTAAATCAGTGGTACAACTGATTTATTTGCTTTCTTAAACTATTGTTGTCAAGTATCACATTTTCTCATTCATCTTGTGAGCTGTCCAGCTACAGGACGTTAAATTAGCAATAGTCTCTTTTATGTCCAGTACGGAAACACAGTCTGATGATAATGTGTAGTGGACAGTTTTTGATAACTGATCCGGCGAGAATAACGGAGAGTCCAAGAATTCCGATTTCAACGAAGGTAAAGATAGAATAAAACTTCCGAGTGTTACTTTGTAGACAAGGTATACATTTCCACATCTGTTTAATTCTCTGACAGGCCAGTGCAATTGAAGCCGTAATGATTTTCAAATATAGCGCACTGAATAGAGTTTTTTATATTATCAACAATCTTATAATTATGGCATTTGACAGTTGTGAATTTTATAATACCTAGTCTTGTATTTGACTCCATATTAAGGCAAAATAACCAATCAAAAATGATTCGCGTTACGTGGATTCGAAACCCGGACCGTATTAAAGTGAACGCCTATGGGACCAATGCGCCAAGGAGAATCTAGGAAACGCTTGTAAATTTAGTAGCCATTATAATAATATGCATCGTTATATATTTATTTATGAAATAACCGTTGAAATTCATCTACAATCAACAACAACAAGGAACTAGTATTTTTAATACTATTTAGATACTAACAGCTCTAAATTTCCTTAACAATAGAAGTAGGTATTCCTTTTTTACTATACCGATTCAAGGACTTATTTAAATAGTTAAGTTTATTACTTAAAAAATGAAGATTACCATAAATTACATTACATTGTCCGCGTTAATTTAGGTGTCTTAGAAACCTACTAAAACTTGAATATTATTATATAAAATACGGCTTGCTAAATTAAACGCAGCATTCAGTTAATAAACTTGATCAAAATTGAGATAACATCAGTGGTGTTAAAAACCTTAATTTAATTAAAATGGAAAATGATTTTCGGAATTAAAAGTTTTCCGACAGCGCACTAGACGCTGGCCCAGACCGTGGGAGAGATCGACTGACCCTGTGACACATTACAGTGCGAAACTATAGCTAACAAACGGTTATGATTCCGCTATTTCTTTTTCGGGATTCATGTTAAAGTAATTAAGCGGTCTGAGCGCTAAATTATGTCAGCGCATGGAACACATGGGAATTTAGGTTCCCTTCACTAAAATTTGTGTGGGATAATATTCCCTTATATTTATTAAAAGCATTTAATCTCATATTATAAACTTATTTTGGTTTTGTATCGTATTATAGTAGAATAATAAAATCATTAAAAATCAATAGTATTATTGATTTTTTCTCCCATTCCAGTTCAACAATGAAACAGTTTCGTGTCTGTTTTGCATACCGCGTCGTAGCGGTATTACAGCTGTATGAATACTATAGCTGATTACATCCGTAGAGCTGATTGTGTACCACAGGGTTGAATTTACACCCACCCGATTCTCAGGATGCTATATGTAGTTACAGATGCCAACCAGAAAATTTAATTTACTATTTCAAATTGTCTGTGGGTGTTTTTTTTTTGATTATTGTGCGTGTAGCTTGCTGAATTAAATTTATCAACATATTACAAGATAATTTTCACTGGATAATATGTTTTCGGAGTGTTATATCTATATGTGTATGTATATCTCAGAACGCTAGATTTTTTACAAGTAAGCGTAAACGTTTATTTTTCTACGCAATTCACTGTTAATTTTCCGTACTTTTAAACAAGTGATAAATGGACTACACTTACGTTGGATACCTACGCATCACCTACTACATTCGTTGCCTTACCTTTCGTAGCGTAAAAGATTTTTTCACCGTTTTACCTCTCAACGGGGCGAAATTCACGCTCATACGCTTGTGTTAACCTTTTAAGAAAAAAATTTAATGAGCCATGAGAAAAAAGGGAAGGCGCCTGTTACGTCGCTATTCACTCGGTTTTTACCTTAAAACCCTTTTTTGTAAATATTAACTTTCAGTACATTAAGTTTTTACGTTTCCAGTTTTTCGTAGGCCATTGTTGATTCAGATTTAGAAGCAACAGGTTTATTGGAATAAATATCTTAGTGCGATGTAATTATTTTTCCTTTCGTTTCATTTGGCAAAATGGAAAGTATTTTTTTATTATTAAATTAACAATTTTTTCATTGTTAATTTTTTAAAACAATCATAGATATTAATAAAATAAAACAATAGATAAATTAATGAAAAATAATTCGTTTAAATTACGAAATGGAATTAATAAATACAATTATTATTTGACAACATTTGATTGAATTTATTAAGGGAACATTGTTTATTATAATCGACAATAAACTTACTTTTTTAATAAACTTCTATTACACGATACATTAAATTTTAAATTTCAAAGACAATCGATAAAAAAATCTGTGTATTTTCTTAATACATTCGACAATAAGTTTGTCTCTAATGTATTAGTTAAGAAATATATATTCATAATTCCTAGGCATACTATGCACATAACAATGACGACTGATGAGCCAGCCTGCTATATTTCGCACAGATTAAGGAAATCAACCAAAATTGTCTCCAAGAAGAATCGAATGAGTGTTGTAAGAAACAATCTAGCATCGTAAAAGTTGCGACTGTATTACAATATGTTAATCATATCTTCGCTCATTAAAGAAAATTTGAACACTCGCATGTCGGATCCAAGTACAGTACGTGTATAAACCCATAAACACAGTGACCTGGCAACCCATTCCAGAATACCCTCCACACTGCCCCCTCCTCGTCGCCCATCATATACATAGGTGCAGTAGTGACGCACACTAATGTAATTGCACTAACAGCCTTAGCTTCATGCGGGTGCCCGGGTGCATTCTTCAATACTAAGCCTATTGTTAAAACATTGTTAAAAATGAATAAATTATCTGGAAGACTTGTGCGGCAAGAAATTAAATGTAACCTGCGATTGCGGACTAAGACCTTACGTTCATTTATATAACTAGCTTTAAGCCAGAGGCTTTGCCCGCGTGTTTTTGTATTATACATATAAACCTTCGTCTAGAATTACTCTGTATATTGATGAAAACCGTATTAAAATCCATTGTTTAGTTTTAAAGATCTCGACGTGAAGACAGCGGGAAGCTATTTTGTTTTATTCTAAATATTGATGTTTATGGACTTTATCCATTCAACATCGCAAGCCAAAATAATTGAATATTAACTGTCAAAAACAATTACCTTCTCTTGTAATATTATGATAAAAGATTTAATGCAATTTTCCATACCTAACACTTCTGTCAAAGTACCTATTATAATAGTTATGAATAATGTACCTTAATTATATTCATTAATTATACGATAATTTTAAACTTTGACTCCATCTCGACACTGATTTTTTGTTAACATATTTCTCTTCTTTGGTTTCAGGTAGCAGCTGTTGATGTCCGTAGTAGCAGCCAGCCCATAGGCCACTTTTGTTCTTACCCCAGCTCCATATACCCCCTCCAAGATTGCTGCCACGATGGGTCGGAAGAAAATACAAATATCCCGGATCACGGACGAACGGAATCGGCAGGTTGGTACCTCAATATTATTACAAATAAGGCTCAAAACAATGAATGAGAGTAAGATAGTGTAGCTTACCCTTAAAATTCCGTAACAAAAAGATCACATACTAATTGTCCTATCACTTTTATTTTCATTATTATTAAATATACTATAGACAACATCACATAAAGTGTTAAATTACAATATCTCTATTAAGTGCTTGACTCTATAAAAAGAAAGTCCTTTGTCAATTATTACACAAATAAATATTCAAAGCAATGTTATGGAAGAGAAAACGACCTTAGTACTCGTTGACCTAACAAGTGGACACATATCAGCGAGCTCCCTTTGCAAACACTATCGTCAAGGGCGATGACCGGTCCAGTTGGTGATTTATTAATTATACGATTACGCAGTATACCCTTGTCCAGTTTAAGAAGATCTCATGAAATTAAACTGTACAGAAGTTTATTCTTTCATATTGTACGATTACCAGAATGTGCAGAAGCTCAATGCTCTCTGGTGTTATAATAGAGATGGCAGACGCATGAAATGAAAGTTACCAAGCTCAAATTGCTTTCGAGCTAGGTCTCAGCCGTGTGACTAATGTTTGTTGGTTTTTTATTGATTATTATTAATAGTGTTACTAGTTTTGTTTCAAATTGGTCCTATAAGCCGAATGACGGTAAATTGCCAATTAATATGACGTCAGTCTAAGCTATCGTAGCCGATTTAACGGAAATTTTAATAGGTAACAAGCTTTGAAACGACTCATTGAATTTAACTAATAAGGAAAATGTATAGTAAGTGAACTCCTCTGTACACAAAGCTTTTAATCATCTGGAATATTAAATTCCAAATGTACGTCGTGTTGATGACACATAATGCCTACAACAATATATTCCAGTGATATAGAGCGTTGTGGCCGTGACCAGTAAAACAGTGTACACGTTGTTATAATTTAAATATATACAGCATACATAAATAATGCACGTGATAACAAAAACACAAAAAATGTAGATTTAATGAAGTTTTCTTATTGAATATAGTGTATTTTGATAGCATACCTTAAAATACTTATTCAATGTTACTATTTTAACAGAACGGTCTTTAATATATGATTACTCATTATTATGTACAAATAAGGCATGTTAATTAATTTGAAAACTATCAATTGACTAATAACAATGATTTTGAAATATGTTAAAATGGAAATAAAATATCGTTCTTTATTATGAATATTTTATAAGTATTTTTTTTAAGTAATCATATTCACCCACTTACGTGCATGTTGCTAAAGTAGCGATGTTAATTTCATTTCAGGTGACGTTCAACAAACGTAAATTCGGTGTTATGAAGAAGGCCTATGAATTGAGCGTGCTATGCGACTGTGAGATTGCCCTTATCATCTTCAGCTCGAATAACAAATTGTACCAATACGCTAGCACGGACATGGATAAAGTAAGCATTTTCTATTTCTTTACCAATTTGTGTGCTATCATTATTGCACTGCCTCCAATGACTTTTGTTTAAATGTCAATGGTATTAATACGCTTCGCTTAATTACAGGTTCTTCTTAAATACACTGAATACAACGAGCCTCATGAATCGCTGACCAACCGCAACATCATCGAGGTACATTAAGTACGGCGTCATCTGTGTGCCCGTGATCGCAATGCAATGTCCATGCAAATTTGACTTATTCCATTAACCGAGTGCTTCCTACTTACAAACAACCCTAATGCATACATATTTACTAAACTAATCCCTGTTTTCTGCAATCCTGTAAAATATATGTCGTGTAAACTTTAATATGATTACAACCGATGGCCATAATAACTATAATTGAGTAGAATTATAATATTCCAAAATAATCAAGCGTATCAGTAGCAAATATACTAAGGACTAGCAATAGGCACAAGTTTAGATGAACGTGAGCTCAATAAAGTAGGTACTGGCATGTTTATTTCCTGTTCAAGAAAACAAAAAGTACTGAACACCAGACACCCTATTTTTATACTAACAATTTATGACTAGACACCCCCAGTGTTTATGTTATTTATTCCTTGTACAGCATGGGTTTCGTAAATATTTTTGTGTTTATTTGATTTAACTGCTCCTACCTGACTCCGAGTCGATGTAAGGATAAAGTCAGAGTTGCATCATTGCATTCGACACTACACACATATGTACGCTAAAAAGTTTCCCAAATACAATTTAGAAAACACTGTAGTATCGATAGCACTTTTTTATTTTAAACCCTCCACTACATACTCGTGAAACAAATTCTTAAACTATATTTATAAATGTTGTGATCACTGATAACACTAATGGTGTGTAGAGAGGGTGCCTTCTAATATGTAACTTGATTTAAAGCATGCCAAGATTAATACAGTAGAATACATGATTTTGGCTCGTCAAGCCACCTGAGCTCGTTTCGCTGACACTTGCAGGCCCTAACGAAGAAAGAGCATAAGAACGGAGTGATGTCGCCCGATAGCCCTGAAGCCGAACCGGAATACAACCTGACGCCGAGGACCGAAGCCAAATACTCTAAGATCGATGAGGAATTCCAAATGATGATGCAAAGAAACCAATTGAACGGAAGCCGCGTCGGCGTCGGGGTGACCGGAAGCAACTATAACCTTCCAGTCAGCGTCCCCGTCGGCGGTTATGATCAGTCAATGTTACAAGCTAGTCCACAAATGCATACCTCTATAAGTCCACGGCCTTCTTCATCGGAAACTGATTCAGGTCAGTCGAATCGTTCTAGTAAAAAGATAAGGTCACCTTAAAAATTTCAATTCAATATTTTTTTCTATAAAAGTACTCGTTATCGGCATGATAAAACAAATACCTAAATATGTTCGCAATATCTTATAAACTTACTTTCCTCTACAGTATATCCAAGCGGCGGAATGCTCGAGATGTCAAATGGCTACCCGGGTTCAGGGTCCCCCCTGGGCGCGGCGTGCACGCCGTCCCCATCGCCGGGGCCGGCGCCGTCCCCGCACCGCCACCCGCACAAGTCCCACGCCCACGCCCCGCCGCCACACCACTCGCCCCGGAATAACAATCTACGCATCGTCCTACCCAGCTCGATGCCGCCACCACAAGACGACTTATCTTACACTGGAGAGGTAAATTTGCTTCCCATATCTCGAATTAGTAGTAATAAAGGGACTACATATCTGAAGACAGAAGTTCTGAAGGATTTTGAAACTTTCGATTTAGTTTCCGATCTGATTTCTATTTCACTGCAGTCGTACGATAACTGATCTATTTTACTTTTCAGACACCGCTAAGCTACTCAGGAATCGGAAACTTTGGACCACAGGACTTCAGCATGACCTCGGACATGGGAATAGGATTATCATGGGGCGCCCACCAGCTGCAGACGTTACAGCACAACAGGTACATGTCTGTGCCCAATTTTAATTATTTATTACATTATGTTTGGTGCGCTTGTAAATGTTAGATTTCTGAAATGTAACCTTGCTTATTTGCTTTGCTCTAAATGCTTAATGTACCTAATTATGAAATTGTTTTATTTTATTATTTACTATTGTACGTCATGAGCGACAATGATTCAAACGTTTTGTGGTCAATCTAATTAATCTAATATCTATATGAATAAGGAAAAGAGAGATAATTTCTTACAATTCTATAACAAAAATAAACAAAAATAAGCTCCGCCATGACAGTGTTTCCACTGCCGTGACCAGGATTCGAACCTGGGTTACTACGGCCACAACGTAGGGTCCTAACCACTAGACGATCACGGCTACCGGAGCTGTTATAAACCTCGACGAAAATTGATTAGATATTGAAGTGCAAATCGAAAGAACCAGTTTTTGTGGACCTCTCTCTCCCCCCGCCATCGTGCCTTTGACAGGCGACTAAAGAGGGAATGGAACAAACCATCAAGGTCTACATTTACTGCGGCACTGCCTTCCGGGGATCGTAGCGTGACCAAAAGAATTGCAACGTTCCGCACGAGTAATGCCAAATTGAAATCGTATTGGATTGACGTAAAAACTCCTAAGCCCATATTGTGTTTGTATATTGTTTTGTTTTTGTTGGAGCATTTGTGATTGTTTCTTAAATTAGTGAAGTCCAATCTTAATGATTATAATGATTACAATCTTAATGCTTCCTTGAATATATGTTAATTCTTATATTTATATCAAATAATTTTATAGACTTCTGAGTAAAACGAATTCCCCATTTCAGATATTTTTCCAAATTATTCTACAATACTACACCTCCTATATTGTATAAGTGATGAATTAAGAAATTCCTTATAAACACAATCTTCTTTACAAAAATAAACTAAAAATACACAGCCCCGCCATGACAGTGTTTTCACTGCTGTGACCAGGATTCGAACCTGGGTTACTAAGGCCATAACGTAGGGTCCTAACTACTAGACGATCACGGCTACCGGGGCCGTCGCTGTAGCGATTTAAATAACAGTCACTTGTTTGACTGGAAAACATCAAAAAATCACTGTGGAAAACTTTCACATCGTATCACATTGACCCCAATTGTACACTACATGTGAAGATCAACAGGTCAAAAATATGGACATTATGTCAGAAAAAGACGTATCTTAATAATACAGAATGGAGAATAGCTTAATACCAACTTTTTCAACGACAGTGGAAACTATAATGAGTCAGAACACATTATCGGGCAGGTTATGGACTAAATGTTTGTTTAAAGAGTGCACTTTCACAATCAATAGCTGCGCATGAGTGGTCGGACGCAGATAATAATTAACGCCTACATAAATTAACGCTATCGGCCTGGAGGGGTCTAATTAAATTATTTTTTTCTGATAGCATTCATCATCTCGCCTGTAGTCTGTGCATGTCAAATTAATTTAAATGAATTACGTAAGAAGTCAGTAAAACAGTTAATTCTAGCATGGATAACGTGTATTTTTGCGCTTACTTCTAAAGTGCCCATTAGTTATCATCATGTTAGATAAAATAAATGTTTGTTATTGTCTGCGAACTGTAATAATTTGGTTATTAACCAAATCAATGAAGTTCCTTAAATTAAGTTTTTTTGTTCATAAGGTGTATGGCATGGATTTTGAAAAAAAAAAACAATCTTAAGTCTTACCAATACTTTTTCACAAGTATTCAAGTATATAAGTAAATCAATTTATTTTAGAAAACTATTTGTCGTTAAAACGTAACAAAGCAGCGAATCAGTGACGCTATGATTAATCTGTCGGGTGTGCGATGGACGTCTCGCTGAAGTATCGTTAACTCCAACAGTAACAGCCTGCCGGTGCTGGGCGGAGGGGGCACGCCGCCGCCGGCCGCGTCGCCGGGCAACGTGAAGATCAAGGCCGAGCCCGTGTCCCCGCCCCGCGCCCCCGACCACCTGCACCGCGCGCCGCCGCCCGCGCAGCAGCCGCAGCCCCAGCCCGCACACCTCGCCGCCGTCATCGATGGTCAGTCTTCATTATCTATCACACACATTCTGCTCTTGGGCGCATAAGATTCTCTTTATTTCAATCAATAGCATTTATACTCCTTTGATGAGTCTTTTACTCTAATTCGAGAACACATTTAGCTGTGGAGTAGAAAGGTCGCAAAAAACTCCATAAAACATGTCATAGTGAGTACCTTTAACAGTATTTATTATAATAGTCCTATAGGAGTATCAAGGGTAGGACTACGTTTACGTATAGATATATGTTATTACGTAATACTTGCCAAATTCAACAATAAGTAAATTAGCTTAACACGAATGTTCATAATTGTTCATATCTTGCTGCCATCTCCCTACTCATCAATTAGAAAATTTTATATCATCGATACACCTCCAATAAGATTTATACTTGTTACAATTAAAAAATATATATATAAAACAGAAGAGGACCCAAATAGTATCCTTGTGAAACTGAGAGGCTGTTAAATAATATTGATCGTTAACCTTTACACGAATTAGCTTGACTAAGTTTCCTGATGGATGGTTCGATCGACCTCAACAGATCATCATACACGCAGTCCCCAAAAGCTAAACAAAATTTATTAAAATACAATTATTTCTTTTGTCAAACGTTTTTGAAAAATCTATTATGGGTTTTTTGGTACCCAATATTTGATGTATTTTGTAAAATCAGTATATATACAACTAAATTCATATCGACCTTAAGACTACGGAAAAAAAAAAAATATTTTTATATATTAAAATTATAGTAACTTATTTTAAATTTTGACATAAAACACAATTTTAATATTTACTAGTACTACTAGTATCGTATATCCATATTAATGTAAAAATATAGCAATAAAAGATGTTCGAGAAGAAATTCGATAGTAAATTTGGTACGAAACTATAACCTTGATACGAAAATTAAGCGACTTTCGCAAGGGACGGTCATTGGACGAGTAACCAAGTTTGTACTATCTCGAACTACTACGTAATTCGATAAACAGCCGTTGGTCCTGACTGCTTCTACTGTTCCAAACACCTATTAAACCGCACTAAGTCTTCATGCTAAATCGTGGCCCATTCCAATCCAATAAATGAAATGATGAATGAATGATGAAAATATCTTTATTCAAGTAGGCTATTACAAGCACTTTTGAATCGTCCAAAAATTTTTTTTCCACTACCACTTGTAATTGTAATAGGTACGATGCCCCAGTAATGGGAACGTTAATAGGCTAATAATGATAGTCTCATCTGTCTAAAGATGACGGGGTACTTTTTTTCAAAACCTAGCCAAAATAAAACCTCATCTTATTTGTGATTAAACTTTCAATTACCTAAATACTCTCTTTCAATTTTTAAATGAGTATTTTTTAAACGTAAAATATTTTCCGATTTTAATATGAACTCGAAAATTTCGAGAAAAACACGAGTTTATAGGAATACACGTATTTGTAATTATTTAGATGATTTATTGATTCCTAAGTTCGGAGACAAGGACAATCATCACTGTTTTAATATGACAATCTTAGCAAAATAATTATATAAAACTGCAGGTTCAGTGACATCGAGTAACATGGGCTCGCCGGCAGGCCAGGACATGAGGCACTCGAGCGCAGTGCCACTCGACTACGAGCAGCCCCACACGAAGCGGCAACGGATCGAGGGCTGGGCCACATAGCTAGGCTACGAGGCCTTCGGCTCATACCCGAGGCCCCTCCACCCGCACTGCTAAGTCCAGCCCGGGTGCCCCGCGCCCCCCGCGCCCCGCCACCCGCGTCCGCCGCCACTACCGAGCCTTGTCCCTCGTCATCATCCGACCGCGCCGACAGTGCTCTAGACCAAGTCTGAAAATGAAAGGTGCATCGATATCGAGGTGCTCGGTCGGCACGGTCGAAGCGGAACGCGAACAGTTCTTCGAGCGGAGAGACGGACGGAGGCCCGGGCGGTTCCAGAAGCGTCGACGTTTTCGTCCTGTCGCCGTTTCCCACTAGAGATGTTATCGAAGTCAACACTACCCTTCTATTATACGTAACGATGTTATTGTAATTGCACATTGTGAATACACCGTAAGATTAAATGTTTAAGGTAAGTAAAATTTAATGCGCTCCTCTGATTTTTGTAACGTAACTAAGTATAGATAGTGTTCCGGTCCCTCTGTAAATAGACAAAATTAAATGTGCAATCCGTGCCATTGTCCGTTTAGCTTAACGTTTAGTCGAGGTGATAGGTGATATTGTATAAGTGTGTACCGATACACCGCTAGCGGAGGAGATGACCGATGTGGGCGGCGCTGCGGTCGCCCGGGCGGCGGAGTTGTGCTAAGAACTGACTATTTGAGTGTGAATAGTGCGTCGAGAACTAAGAAGCGACTGTTGACTTCTAACGTTAGTGTTCTAAAAAGTTTTTGTGCCATTTTAAAAATATTATAATAGTGTGACATCCGAACTTGAATCTTTATAAATTTAGTGAGCGTAGTGTCATCACACAAGTTAATAAATCTATGTATTGTAAAATCTACTTTATCTATTGACATATTTATACATGAGAATCATATGATATTTACATGATATGTATACACGTCCCGTTAGGAACGAATGTTATGTATGTAAGTAGGTAATGTTAGCTAGAGTTGAGTATATAAAAAAGTACCACACGAAGCTTTAAAATTTCTTATGATAACACTCGCACTCTAAGCAGTCTGTAAGTTAATGATCACATTGATTGTATAGTAATGGATTAAAAAAAAAAGCAGACAAAAGTATTTTTCACCTAGACCCTAAGGAAAGAAACATTTAGGTACATATGTAAATGTAATTCTTGATAATCTTGATGTCTAGTTTGTTACAGTACGGACAGATGACACGTCGAACAATGAATACTTTATTTAAACAGATCTGCAATTGCATATAAATATATGAACAAGCCTTCTAGCTGATATATTTAAATATATACGTGCGTACATATGTATGTATGACTATTGATCGACGACGTCAACGGTTATATTTTTTTTACATAGTGAATATACGTTAATTTGCAAACCGAACCGTCGAGTCAATTTCAGTAATAACCGTACCATTCGTACTTGTATTTGTTAAATACTGTGTATCTAGTTGGTGTAGTGGATTATATGAACGATGCTTGTTGTTAGTAAAATTTTATTATTTTGTTAGTGTGATCTGAAGAAGTTTCATGCATTTTATTTCTTGTTAGGAGTAGTTGTTATAGTAATGAACAATATCGATTACCTACGTGTAAACAAAGTCAGCTTTAAATGCACATACTTACAAAAGAAATGTAATTTATTATAATGAATATTGTACCTATTTTGGTATAGCACTATTTCACAATCCGCCCTATTTTTAGATGATATTGTCCAAGGAATTAACGATGAGATGTATAGTTGATGGATTAACGTATTCTGTAATTGTTATCTGTGTAACCGCGTGTGACCCCACGTACATACGTATATCTATCTGTATGTCGGTAGTTCTATGCCCTTAAGTACCCAGCATCGTTTCCGTTCTGTTTGCCAGCTCACTGTAAACTATATCATGTTGTCTACTTTATTTTACTCTATCCACTCATATCGTCTCACTGTAGATGCCTTACTCACAGTGCCTAAATGTACCATTTTGTACCAAATTTTGTATGATACGATAGCAATTTTGCTTTTATATATTTTCACACCCTAATAACTTTAAGACTTTGAGAAACGTGAATGTGCCGTGACCGTAGATAGCTGATAATGTATATTGACACTAAATATTATTGAATTTGTATCCATATGATGTTACTGTAGCTAGGGGCTATCTACGGTCGATGCGATTTGGCGCTACATCACGTTTCGGAAACAGTTAAACTGTTTATAAAATAACTTGTGATTGTAACAATATTATTGTATTAATTAATTAGTATACATAAATATATTTGCAAAAATCCCTTAGAATAAATCCTTCAAATCACAGTAACAAAATGTTGATGTAGTGTTTGTTGAATTTGTACAGGGAATTACCAGTTTTGATGTTCAAAAGTCTGAACGAGTAAGAAATGTATTTTCGCATTGTAAAATAAGTACACGATTAGTATGTAAACGAATTAATATTTTAATACCGAAGCATAATGAATGTTGACCCATTTTAGGGAACTATGAAATTCATGTAAGTACACCTTTAATGTTAGCATAATTGTTAATGTGGTATAATAACGTACCTACACTGTTGAAGTCCTTGTATTATGAGATTCTACTGTTACGTTATCTGAAATGGTTTTCGGTCGTTCGTTCCTAAAAGTTCCTTTTGTCTGGAATCGTCGGTGTGCTTTCGAATTAGAATTTGCTCAATTGTGTTCGTTTGACGATAAACCCACATATGCATCACAATTATAGTTATATGTACTCTATAAGCCATTCGATATAACCATTCAAACGGCAAACGTACTAGTGATTTCTAATTCACAATATTTATTTGAATTGTACAATGTTTATCGTCGTTACCTACATACCTATCACAAATTGCACCAATGGATGGTCACTATAAACACTTATAACCAACGGTGTTGTAAATCATTAATTGCACAAAATTAACGTACGAAATGGGAGCGTATTGAAATTTGTATAAGAGAAACAAGTTGTCGGTAATTGATCGAATAATACGCGTATTTGTCGCGTGACGACGTTACTTACATATTAAAATATTACCTTGTATAAAATAATCAACAGTAAGCTGGTATTGGGAGCATTATTTCCGTGGTTGTGAGTATTACTATCGGGAATGAGTTCACTTTTTAATTAAATAAATATTGTATAATATTAATATTCATTTTGAACGCACAACTGTGTAGTTGTGTGTCTTGTAAAAAGAGTTTGCTTGGTTTGTTTTTAGATGTACCTACTTTTGTATATGTTTTACCCTTATTTATAAGCTGTGCATCAATAGCAAACAGTTTTAATTCAGTTAAATTATTACCTATAGGATGAGTAACTCGTTGCATTTAATGGAAAATTTAGTCATAAGTATGAAATGCACGAAATCATATATTGATTTCGCCACCGTAGATATTAATGTATGCTATGTTCCCACGTCTCTCTTTGCTATTGTTTCACAGCAAGTTATAAACGACCCAAAATAGATGATAGGAACATAATACATATCCTTAATGAATACTCAAGTCGATTTCACATAATTTTCTCTCGTAACATCAGTTGTGCAATACATAAATAACAAAATGCTTAGGTAGGTATTAGGTATATTTTCGTTTGAATTTACAAATAATGCAAAATCTGTTGTATTTTATCGATATTTTTACTGACAGTGAGGGAGATGTCACAGTTAGATGGCGCCTCTCACGAATTAAGTCATAATGTATAATTATTTTCTAAGAAAAGGCCGGGCCAAATATTGCATTAATTTAGGTCTCGCGGCGCCTGTGTTTCTGTGTCGAGGCAGCCAATTCTGCCCTGTGTATAAAATGTACGATGAATGAAACATCTCAGTGGCTGAATGAAATATTAATGTTTATCGACAGTGTTAGAAAAATTGTTATAAATTATTTTGATGACTGTTCGAAGGATAATAAAGAGTTGGATGTCATATCTTTTGTTTTTATTGTTTTTGCTCAGTAAAAATAAATTACTAATTAAAATAACATAAATCATGTTATATTAAGACATAACAGGTTCACCGAATGCTCCTTTTGAAACGGTTGGTTCTCTATTTTCTTCGGAAACTTCATCGATATCATCAGCTATAACCTTGCGCCTTCTCAGATCTCTATCAAAAATTTCCTGCACTTCTCGATCCAAATCCACCGAGCTGGACCGTCTCGAATCCCATCTGTCAAAGTCTGCACTGTTATGAACTATGATGTTTTCTTTAGTCACATTGATGATTTGACCGTCTAGGGTTTCTACTGAACCCGCCATTGAGGACCTAGTTTCAAAATCCAATCTGCTTTCAGTTCCGTCTGTGACCATGTCTACGTCATTTTCTATGTCGAGGGGAGGTAATAACTGATTTTGTGAGTTGGCACTAGATGGTATTCTCTTTGGCAAACGGCATCTTCTAGTTATACCACCCATCCATTCAGAAATAAGTGCAGTTGCTGCAAATAAAAACCCAGCACCCAAGAGAAGAAACATTCCTTGTGTATCCTCTAAAGTTAAACCCTTTTCTTCAACAGATACTATTCTGATACCTCCAGATCCAGCCTGAAAAGTACATTTAAGATAAAAAAATTAATTCAATTGAATTTTTGGCAATAAACATTCGACGTGGTACATTTTATCAATATTGTGACTTACAGAAAGCAGTTTTCCTGTGCTACTCCGTTGCATTTCCCAACGTACTTCGTCTACTATCTTATCTATGATACCAGTCTGGTACATTCTTCTCAAATCGGCGCTTAACTTGGCTGAATACAATGAATTATTTGGGAAACTCATGGACACACCGAATGGTACAAAACATTCATTGGAAATGTGCAATACTGCTCTTTTAGACCTGTCAATTAAACAATATTTAAGCGTCTGACAAATCTATAGACACAAGGAAATTGAAAACACTAAATGCCTATATTCGTTTAGAAAGTGTCTCTTTCTAAATAAAAAATGCTTAAAAAATCCCCATGTGCTGCTCTAACTACTGAATTTTTAAAGTATTTTTCAATAATACAAAATGAAATGCAAATAAATGCAAAATTGATAAAATACAAAAAGTGTCTATTTATTTTATTGTGCAGCTTAAATATAAACTACAATTTACACTTTGCAGTAACAGCAAGCTTAATGCAAAAAAGTCTAAAATAAACTAAAGTTCAATCATAAAAGTATTAGCTAGAATCTAGCCAGATCCAACCAGAAATGTGAACTCTCTGGATACGTCGTGATGATGTTATTTTTAAGTGCGAAGCCACTTACGTCGACTTTGTGAAATTAGCTTGGACGATATATTCCAATTCAGCTTTCGAACCCAAAAATGCATAAGGCCAGAAGAATGCTTTTGTAGTATTTCTAATGCCAGCTTGTACATTAGAAACAAATTCTATTTTCTTGAAAAGCTTATTTGTTTTATCATCTGATGAATTTAAAAACCATCTTTCCCATCCACCACGATCTAGAATTGATACCATAATTTAATAAATAATCAGAGTGTCATCAATTTAATTATTATTTATTAAACAAAAGGTTAGAACATAAAAATACCTAATGTTCCAATACGGTAAAAACCTGTAAGTAATTCATCTATAGTATCTACAGTCTCAGGATAGATAGGTAAGGTCACAAATGCTATGATAGAACCGGTGTAACAACTCGTAATTATGATTGTGAAAATCCAGTACCAACCTAAAATCATTGAAAACAAAAGTAAATAGGTACATGTTGATCACAGTGAATATATATTTAACAATTATGATAACAATTAAAGTCAAACCTATCAAAAGTCTCGTCGTGATTTTTGTAGTTTTACTCCAAGAATTTTTCCCGGCAAATGTGAAACAATTAGTGAACGTCCCAAAGACATACCAGAACATGTTTTCGATTTCTCCACTGTTATGTATCAAGTGTTTTAGTGTATGTTTATCTGAGAAAGCTAAGGGAATTATTCCTATTAGGTAAGTAAATGTCAAGGCCACCCAAACATGCCAATGAAACGGACCAAGTATAGCTCGATATCTGTAAAATAAATATGTCTGTATAGCGATGCCGTGACTTTGTACATATATTACGCTTAAAGACTGAAATCGCTGTTTGAGCGAAAAAGTTCACAACGCTTTGTTGTCACAGTAAAATACATAGCGAAATCGAGTTGTGGCTATGAAGAACAACCATGACGCGTCTTGAACCATATTTGATTAGGTTAGGTTAGCATATTTGATTAGGTTAGAGTATGACAAACAACTCACGAACATTATAAAATGAAAGAGCTAGTGAAACCAGTAAATGCTCAAAAAGCGTCGTGACTGTGCTTGATTACCACAACGTGTTGAGGTCGAATAGCATGTCAGCGACAACACGGATTTCGCTATGTAAGTATTCTGCGATTGCCACAACGTGTTGTGTACTATTTTTTGCTCAATGAGTGATTTTGATCTTTAACCGTAACATATACGTTTAATGAATTAATAAAAACCAAACCGTGGCAAAGCTGTAGACATTAATGTGATAAAAGCAGCACAATCATAAGAATGGGAAAAGGACACGTCTAGAGCTTTAATTCTTTCACTTGTCAAATACATCCCAGCAACTCCAATATCGGCACGACCCATTGCCAATTCCTTCACAACTGCGTCACCGGCACTGGAATATTCAACGTATGGTCAACAACACACCAGAATATATAAAACTTGTCCTTTCAATTTTAATCTTAATAATTGTATTAAGCATGGTATAGGGTAGGTATGGTTCAAAAACCATTGCGATAAACGTGTTAACAGAACGTGCAGCCGTATGTTTGCTGTTGGCTTAGGATGTATATAAAAACTTAGTGATGGTATTATTTTACCCTAATTGAGGCTCCTGAGGTTCAGAAATCTCGATGGAAAAATTATTTCTCTGAGCAAGAAGTTCCAAAAGTCTCATTTCTACTCCATCCCACACTACTTTCGGATTCCCGCCATCTAAATCTGATTTTATTCTGAATTTATAATAAAAAAATATGATTAGAATTTGTATTTTTATACTAGCACAAGACTAATGCTACAAATAAAATCTTAAGTTGATGTCAAAAACCACTATAGAAAGAAATCCCGAGAAATCAGTTACAATTCATATGTTTCACAAAATAAATACAAAAATCTTATTATACCTTCTAAAGATGAAAGGCGGTTGATTGGATGCAGAAACAATAAATCGATGTCCAGCATAGCCCTCTGTCATTTTGGGCGGAAATAAGTTTACGTATCTTGAAAACTTTCCATGTGTCCAGGAAGTAAGAACTATCGGCTTGCTAGCACCCAGTCCATCAGTATACAATTTATGAGTATACAAAATGTATGGTGCTTCCTATGAAAAAAGATATTGTGGAAGTATGTTCTACCTATTTAAAAATAACAAATCAAGAAATACAAACAATATTACGGACTAATGTTTCGTCGTCATCTTTGAAACTTTGCCCTATCACTAGCAAGTTTACAAACATTCTTGAATATGGCCCAGACAAAAATTCTTTCACTGCCCATTGAGATGACCTGGCAATCACTACCACTTTGCTTTCTGACTGTTTACCTAGTACTTTAGCACTACTCGATACATCCGATAAAAACACAATGAAATGAAGACATTCTGTTACAGATACTAACAGATTTGGTTCTTTCAATTTGTTACTATCGTAAATGTATCCATGAACATAAGATACTGGGAATTCTTTGAGAAGGTCTTTTATTAAATAGCTCTCGCGAGATTTTATGTGGTTGTCGTAAAGCAAAACTGGTGTACAATCATTCAGATAAGTCAATGTAATATTGTGAATCAACTTTATTAAAGAAGGCGTTTGATCAAATGCACTACTTTTATTGATAAAACGTTCGTTCCAAAGTTCTTCCCTAGTTTTTGGATGACCATGAAAAACAGGATCAGCGGCTCTTTTACTTTTAATCCCAAAATCAATATCGTTAAAATATCTCCAACTCGTGGAAGAGTTCAAGACGTTAAGTTCCGATGCATTCTGTATTCCAAATAATGTTTTTTCAGATTTATGATTTGTAGCTATAAATTGAGAAGAATAGTATACTTCTTCATCACAAACAGCACATTTACTAATTATTACATTAATTATAATTATTATAAACCGACTCATATTACAAACTGCTCTGATAGTCTGTTTTATTTTAACATGTCGAATTGCTTATATACTTCCTATCCTCCTTCTTCGCCGGTCAAAATGTCATCAGACAGGTGCTATGATTGAAAATTAATTTTTGATCACTACTGCAGAGCTATAGTGGTCACGGACATACTCCATGACTTTGTATCAAGTTCACGTGAGTTTTTTATTATTCACATTTTCATTATGATAGTTCATTATCATCACCTTGAACTTATCCGTTAGGCCTAGGGGGTACAAAATCAAAATCAGCGTATATGTTTTTAAATTATTTTATTGTTCAGCACTGGTCACAATTCTGTTAACCCTTGTACATAAATAAGTTTTAAAAAACATCGTCATGGTCTTAACATAAGTCGTGTCTATGCGTCTAAGGTGATGTCAATCTATTAGATTCAGTAATCAGATTCAAGTTGAAACACAATAACCAAAACATTTGAATATGTGCCAAATAGTTATAATCGATGTAAAAGTGAAACTACCAGTTTTAAATAATAAGCTAATATTTACAATAATAAGACTTATAAATAATGAATAACTAATTTTTAAATAGATTCGCAAGCGCATCCAATAACTTTAGCAGCTGTAGCATACCAAAGCTTTAAACTAAAGGCTTAAGTTATCTTATAATTCACAGTTTAAATCATGCACTGTAAAAATCACAATAAAAGTTTAATAAAAATAATGTTATTGCATAGTAGATCGTATAAGATCGCTTAGGTATATACCAAAAAAGTGTCACGTAGACATGTGCTACATCAGAGCACTGACGATGTCAACAGACGTCTAGGTAACATAGTCAAATATTTTTTTATTTATATTTGTGTTATTGAGATTTATTTAAAAAAGCACATGACTAACTCCTTGGGGCAATTTTTTACAGATCATTACAAACTTTCTGTTATGAATGCAATTAATACTAATTAATACCTAAATTATATTTACAAAATTATGAAGAGGCAGTGTAAACCACGCAGCTGGCAAGATTAAAAAAACATTTTAACTAAAATTCAGTATGGCTTTTTGTTAAAATATTGCAATTGAAATGTTTCGTAAAATTATTTGTGACTAATGAAATAACAGACAATGTGCCAGTTGTGAAAATATCCACTAACTGAAGAACCACAAATACAAATATAATGTGTATAATTGAATTAAAGTACACGTCTATTTCATTATGTAATAAAACTATAAAGAGTATTACTTTAGGTATATCTAACAGAACACAAAATAGGAAAAGTATTGCAAGATAACATTGCACAATAAATCGCTTAGTGTATAATCTACAGAGGTGTAAAGTTATAATAGCTCTTGAACACCTTGACGATTGAAAACACTTAAATATCACAGTTTCCAATACAATCACGCAACGGATGACTTCATATCGTTAATTAAGTAGCGGAAAAGATATTGTTTTATTCTTTTGTAACATATTCAAAATCAAAGCTTGCTTTGTGACCATTGAAATCTAAATGGCACTCATTAGTTGGTGACAAAACAATTTTAGTAATGGGAACTATACGATGAACAATCCATGGCTCCTGGGCTATTATGGATTCATGAGAATCGTTCCTTGAAATATTTACAATTTCTAATTTGTCATTCTTCTATTACATTGTTATATGCTAAGAGTTTATTCTCCGATATCGTTATCGATGCGTGAAGATTTGATCCCAGTTTTGCCGGTCCAAGGGTATACTTCGGGACAAGGTTGACAGGTTCTCATGTATCTCACTCCGGATTTGTGCCAGAGGTTACAAACTTTAGGGTTATTACACTTTTTCGGCCGATCCTGTACAGAGAAAATATAAACCAATTAATATTAGACCACATCTCGTAAACCTATTTCCCATATCCCTAAAAAACCCAAAATAAAGTATTATGGACATCTGGAACAACGAATAGAACCATCAATTAATAGTATAAAATTATTTATCCAAGTCCCAGTTACTAATGACAACAAGCTAAAATTGAACTTTTCATCTTAATTTTAAATTATTGTCAAACAAATATTAATAATCAAAAGTTACATAGATGTATCTACTATAATGGAACTTTTCGTACCTGATAATTGCACTGGAACGGCTGGAAATTGTTAAGTCTGGAGATAGGCGTAGGATCGCGCACCCATTGTAGAGCCTGCCAATTTGTAATAATCCACACATCTGACATCTGGTTGATGAAATCTAGGAACATGATAAATCCTTCCTTATGGTGTGGCTGCGTGAACCACGCTGCGTGGTAGTACAAGCCAAACGGAGCCCTAGAATTAAGGTAGAAGTTTGGATTAGGAAATTATATCTCACACAAACGCGTACACTACTCAGTTAACAACGAACTTTTGAATGTTTTTAAGCGCTATTTAATAAAATTTAACATTATTCATGTGACTACTTTATTACCTGTTAGTAGTATAATGCCTGTCAAAGTTTTTAAGTATCATCTTGTAGACGCCTTCAGCCTCAGGAGGATTGGCACAAGCATCGCCCATAGAACAACGTCCACCGTTCAAATCCTGCCACATGACCATAGGAACTTCCCAGACACCTGGAACGGATAACATAAATATTTTATATACCTCAATTTTTCTTGGTTTTAAAATAATTTTGGTGGCTAATTGTCTGTAAAAACCATTAATAATAATAAAGGCTATATACAGTATTTATTCGATACGTACCTGGATAAGACTTTGTAGGACAAGGAGGAATCATACAGTCGTGGAAGAGTTTGTAATCCAGAGTGTATGGCCAACTAGGAGGTCGATTTTCATAGACCGGTAAAGATGAATCGTATGTGAAATTCGAGTCGTACAACATCTTAAACATTTTGTTACCACCAACTGACAGGAAAGGTGCCCTCATGCCTCTTACATCCTCTAATTTTACTCCGCCGTACGCAGCAAGAATTTCTCTTTGACCTCCCACCTCTCTGTTCCATTTCTTTTGGGAGAATTGTTCTCCAAAACTATGTCTGCAAGAAGAATTATGTTGTCAATAACCACTTTTTGAAATTACCTAAAATATAAATACTCAAAGATCCATTTTTAAGGAGAAAGAAGGAAATAACTATCTACAATTATAAATACAATTTGAAGAATAGTAATAGAATGAAAGAGAAATAAGTCGTCACATGTGTAGTCAAATATAAGTCATGTGCTACTTTTACTTTTTTGCGGTATTATATTTTCTAAAACTTACGAAACTGTGTGTGAGGCCATCTCATGCCCGGCAGAGTAAAGGTTCTGGACCTGACTGTAATCTGTCCATTCGTGCGAGACGTAAAATGTAGCGCTGATAGGGCAACCATTAGGGTTAACGCGACCCTTCTCAAAGAGATCGGCATATAAGCCCTTGTTCAAGTCGTTTACCGAGTCATCGAATGTCAGAAGGACAATTTGTGGTACAGTCTCCACCGGCAAGTCACCTGTTATCGTGGGATGTTGGTTTGTGCATATAATGGTTTTGGATGTTTATGAGTCGTGCCAGGAAGAGGAGATGTAAATATAGAGGTAAGAAGGTGGAAGAGAAGGAGAGAGAGAAAAAATCACATTAGTATATTGATAGCAAAAGTATAAATAAAAATACCTGCAAAAATACATACATACATACGTAATAATACGTAAAGATGGCCAAGAATATTGTTAGAGGCAAAACCAATAACGATTTCAAAAAGATGCAGAAGATTCAGTTCAAAGCGTGAAGCTCTGTCGGTTTAAACTTACGATACGGTGTGTGAAGCAAATTCGTGACCATCTGCATATAGATTTTGAACTTGACTATAATCTGTCCACTCATGAGAGACATAAAATGTAGCCGTGATTGGACAACCATTAGGATTGACTCGTCCTCTTTCGAAGAGTTCTTCGTAATACATTTTGTTCAAATCGTTGACAGCATCGTCGAAAGTTATTAAAACTATTTGCGGTACTTCGCTGACGTGTAAATTTCCTGAGTTTATAAATTATAATATAGAAAAAAGAATTGAGTCAAAACAAAACCATTTATTACTCAATTGAATACTTAACTGATCATTTAGTTAAATGTACCAAAAATCTGATACTTAAAAACGTACCTGGAATATCCCTGCCGCCACAATAACAATCGGGAAGAAGACACACATCTTTTCTACATTTGGCTGCGGTTTTATCTGGAGTGGGTTGTGGATAAACAGGTGCTGGTCTGCTCGGTGGATAAGTGTAAATGTCCACAAATTCTGTGCTTTTCGAAACAATGGCTGTAGATGGTTTCAGCGTGGGGCGACTGCGACTGCTCAGCAAGAAAACATTGTAAATAAATAAAAATTACTGAAGTTATAAGATAAAATGATAATGAAATACTAAACAATGATATATAAGCCATATATTATGGCTCGTATTGGGATGATAATCATACAAATAGGTTTTATATAAATGTCAATGTGAGAAATATATATATATTTAATTTAACTAAAAAAAAGATTTTGATAAATAAAAAAACATACAAAACATCTAATGTGTTAACTAGAAATCTTAAGCATTGAAATAATATTATTAAATATCTAATAAAATTTGTGAATCATAGCAATTGTTTAATTTTAAATTAAATTTGTGCATCAATATTAAAAGCTCGAGGATAAAAGTGAATAAGTCATTGTGTTAAATTCTAACGTTGGTGGAGTTCCTCGGTTGGGGACTGGCTGTGGAGCATCGGATGCAGTGGAGTAGTGCGCGGAGCCGCGGCCACGGGTGCTGCTTGGCCTGAAACACAATATGTTGCCAGTCAAATGGGAACTGATGATGATGCAGTTAGTATGCGTGATTTAGAGAAAAAGCATCCGATTGTCATCATTTGAAAAAATCGGACAAATTCTCTTTAATGATGAATATTACACAAAAATCGTGACAATACTTCACATAGATTAATATTAATTATTGCTTCAGTTAATAAAAGCGTAACGCATAAAATATTACTTACTTATAAATTTTGACCAACATATTTACTTTTTTGCATGCTATTATGAGTTCAAAATTATTTTACTTATGGTGATATAAGTGCACATGTCTTTTTTCAATTGTAATGAGGTGCATATAGTATCGACAGAATTTAACTGCATTGAGGAACTTTTATATAATAACAACACTTCTATGCATATTTACAGTGTTTCAATCTAATAACTAAGAATTTAAAATATTTACAATATTGCTAATCCAGTGCAGGAAATGGAAATGGTCCGACAGGAGTTAACAAATTTCAGATTCAACCGACTAGAAGTCCCCCAATGAGAGCTGAGTAAAGTTAAGCGACAGAGTTTAGCTGATGGTGCCATTAAATGATTGTTCAATGAGAAGTCATGCTAGTTACTTCGCAAGGCGGAAAATAAAGAAGTAAACGTAGCCTCCACCTTCCATAAATAGTATATGATAATCTTTCAGGCATAGACTACTGGCCGGCTGATGGCTCATTGTACCTCTGATATTTGATTTCGTTGCATTTTGGATTCGCTTGCAAACTGTTGTCAGACGAACATTTGGACGACGTTTGGTAACTCCTGCGCCCACCTCCAGGGTTTGTAGCAGCCAACTTTATGGCGGGATTAACGCGTGAGGCTCGTGTCGGGAAGGATATACTCTTAGTCGAAGATGTCGGTTCAATGCTTACAGTCGACGTCGCTTTAGTAGTACTTGTAGTCGAAGCTATTTCGCTAAGAACTTCATTAATAGGTCTGTCCCATTCAATTTCAGACGGAGTTTTGGTTGTGTCTATTTTAATTGTCTTTATGGATATGTCATCAGCGTTTATTGATGATGGATTATGAAACAACTTTTGAAACCTATATGACATTTCTACTTCGGGCTTACTACTAGTAAAAAGATTAAATTTACTTTCAAAGGATTCTCTATCAGGTAACATATGATAGTCTTTATTTGTTGAACTGTCAATTTTATCTGGTGATTCTGTAACAATCAAGTGAACTGGTGGAGTAGTAGAAGTTGTTGTTGATGAAATATCATCGACACTTTCAGTCATAATTGGCTCATCATCGTCGGAGGGAATGAATCTATTAAAACTTGGTTCTGTAACAATTTGTAATCTTTTAACGTTATTGTTATTTGTAGTTATTTGTGGTTTATCATCAAATTTTAACATTTTCTTCTGAAAACCGATATTTACAACTTTTTCCTCTGGTTGAGGTGTAGTTAAAGGAGTTGTAACAGAAAATTCGTTTAAAAGTCTAGGCACTGGCGTGCTCGCTATATTATTAAAGAAAGCCCTAAGAACATTTCTTACTTTGCCATTAAATACTTCGGTCGTCTGATCGGGTACAATTTCATCTATGAGGCTATATGTGTAATATGAAGGTTTTGCTTGCGGTTTCTTTGTTCTTGATTTTTTAACAGGTGTTATAGATGTGGAAGTACTTGCCAATTCTTCAAAATGATTTTCACGGCTTCTAAAATTATCTCTTATATTACCAGAAGTTTTATAAGATGATATAGTAGGATCATCAAACGTTTCTTCCGAGTTTTTAGCCCATTGCGGCTCTTCTAGATCAGATGAAATTTTTAAGTTCATATTTAATCCAATTTTTTTATTTTCATGTGAGGAAACTGTAACACTGTCTCTGTTATTTAAATTCTCTTTAGATTTTGAATTTCTTTCACCATTATTAGGTGATGGACGTCTAACTACACTTTTTAAGTAATATTTAGTAGTACTTGTAGTTAAGGTTGTTGGTTCAGTACTTATGAAAATTCTTGTTTTTGACGTTGGTATTCGAATTCTTGGTCTTACATAAATATGCGTATCCTCAGTTTTTTCCTTTTCTAAAATTACATCTTTACGTTGTGTAATGACTTCTGAGGTAGTCTCAAAATTTGGTGTTGATGTAGAGTATTTTATATCAATTGGTGCGGTGTCATCATCTGTGTTGTAATGATAGTACCTATCTTCTTTAGATATCTCACTTTGATTGTTTTCCAAAATATGTTCTTTTTGTGACTTATTATAATCATCAAAAGGTCGCATTAATACGGTTAGAGTATACGGGTTATTTGTATTATTTGGATTTCGCCTTATAGAAAAACCTGTGGTTAGTGACACGACCTTTTTATTTTCCTTGCTAGAAGGTTGTACCACATCCAAAGATAATTTATTGTTAGTTATACGAGAAGAATGTCTAGAAGTCAATGTTTTTTTATTTGAAAGTAAAGTCTCACTAAGTCTATTTGAGTTGTCAGTCTTTTCAAAAGGTTTAGCGAGGGAAGATAAATTAATTATAGATGAAGGAGAGGTTGGAGTCAAATCATTAGGCGCGTCTGGTGGATTATTATTCGAGGAAAGTTCGGGTTTTTGAATAGGATTTTCATCTGTAGATGATCTGTAGAATACAAAGCAAATAATTCTTTCTAATTTAAGCTCTTTACATAAAATAAATGCTATTTTTTATTTCTACAAAAGGCTCTACATTATATAAAGCCGTTATTATTTTCTACGTACACGAAACCATATTTAAAAGAAAGAAGCAGAAGAAGTATTGAGATGTCAGTATTGAAGTTTATAGGATTTAGAAGATACCACAAAAGCCAATTATTATTCAATGCTCGCAAAATGATTACCTACATATATTTACAGTCCATAATAACAACCTTCAAACCAGAAAAGAAAGTGTTATGTTATTAGTTATGAAAATAGTATTAGATGTTATAAGTTATAGAAAAGACTAGTTCAAAGGCTGTTAATTCTTAAATGAGAAAAGTGAGACATGATGATTACTGATGGTTTTACGAATGTTATTAATGAAAATCCAAGATTATGAAATAAAAAGGCTTGATGATTCGACTGATGTTGTGTTTCAATCAGGATCTTTTGTAGTACCTTGCGGTATAACGAGACGGGGTCATTGCTTCAGTGAAGAGTGCGGTAGTAGAGCGTTGTGTGGTAGTGGTTGTGCTTGTGCTAGTCGTAGTAGAAGGAGTAGTGCTAATAGGAGTTGCTTCATAAAAGGTCGTCTTCACACTGCTTGGATTATGCTCATATCCCAATTCATTACCATCGCCCCTGAATCGTAGGCAATGAGAATTCAATTTTACTCAATATGAAAGACACACAATTATTCTAGCTCATAGTTTACGTTCGGGTCATTTTACTCCAAAAATAATGCCTTTTTATGAAAAAACCAGAAACACCCAATTTGGCACTCTTGTAGATCTACAGCATACAATAATGGAATATATCAAAGTCCAATCTGATAGAGTGATCCTATACAACACACAACAGCGAAACTACTTAGATGTTTTCATGCTTGGGAAACCATTTTTGATCTCCTCTATTGCGTTATTAGTTATACTATAATAAGTCATTGATCTAATAATATAATTCATAATTTCATTAAGTTTATTTTGTAAAATTATGAAAAAGGAATAATACCATGGAACATAGATTTTCTATTATTGTAAAAAAGAAATCAAATTTTGAAATAATATTAAATAAAAAAAATGTTAACGTAAGATTCTAGATAGCTCACCTTGTAGAATGGCGTATGGGTGATTGGTATTGATTTTGATTGTTAACCTGGAATTGAAATTTAACAATATTTCATTAAATTTAAATAAAAAACTTAGGAAACACATACTTTGTCGATAAACATACATATACTTGTTTCAAATAATATTTGATCGTATATCTTCAATAAATAAATATTATACCTGTCCTTGGATAAGGGCATCATCGTAGTGAACAGATGGTGGTGCCTGGGTGTAGGTCTCCACCGGCCGTCTCGCAGGCGGCGGGGTGCCACGGTAAGTTTGCTGCACTGCCGGACGGAGCGAGGCCGTGTTATATTGCTGCACATAGTCTGCCAACACCGATACCTCCGCCAGTTAGTGTGTTATATTTTAAAATAGATAAGCACAGAATGTAAATGTATAAACAAAAATACACCAAACAATGGCGTATTCTTAATGTTGTACGTTCCTGTTCTTATCTATGTATGGTGTAGTTACGAGTAGCTTAAGGTATAATTAATGATACAATTTCCATCGACTACCTTTAATGTATTAAAACTTTTTTTTTATATTTACAAAAATATAGAACTAGAAGTTATATTGGACATTCACAAGTATGTAGTGTGATTCGAATGTAAAATGTTATAAACTAATTTGTTTATTATTATAATGTTGCCAACCACATTTTTATTGTTAATAAGGTATGTGATATGTTAATCGTTGTCCCTTATTAAAATGAATCAAACTTGTTTGCAACATGCGTAATTAAACCTTTATTCATGAATATTATGCGAAGTATTAAAAAATACACATTACATAAAAATATTTAAACTTGTTTCTCCTACCTGTGTCTTTATATAATTCTCCGTCCTCGTCATATACAGCGTAGAAAGGATCATATTGATCAGGATTATAACTCTGTGACCCATTATATAGTTTTTTAGGACGAGGACTTGCCGAATATGAAACAGGAGTCACGTTTTCAGTCGGCTCCAAACTAAAAAATTAAGTACATAATTAATATCATCACAAACATAACACCGACCTGTTTGGCTATTCACAAAGCTCATTATTAGTCAAGTCTACAGTCGGAGTCTATAGTAGTCAAATGAATTGGTCAGCTTAAATAACAATAATAAGTGCGGAATAGGAGTTTCGAAGTGAGAAAGTTAATGTTTCTTCTAGGTTATGATTGTAAAGTTTTGTTAGTAGATATAATACACCAATTCCTAATTTTAATTAACTAATAGAAAAGTTAGTACGGGATTCATCTTCTTGCTATCATTAATTACCTGTTCGTCCTATCATCATATTTGGTTTTTGTATAACGAGTCTCTTGATTGTGATTGTCTCGAGGTGTGGTGTGTTTCATTTGCGCTACTATGTTTTGATGTTTCTGCCTTCCTCTAATTGGTTTACTATCGTCATTATGAGATAGCTGTTGACTAGAAGTAGTTGGCTTAGCTAATCTGTGTCTAACCGTGTACGGCCGTAAAGTTGTTTGATTAAGATATTTTGGGGGCTTTAATGTAAACGGACCACCTTCTGATTGTATGGGCTTTCTTAAATGTACTGTTCTGTTTTTTGGAATGTGATGTATAACCTCATAATGGGAAATTTCTGGCCGTATTAATACAGCTGATGTTGGTGTTGCGTAATTCACTAAAACAGGTATAGGTATTTTCCCGTCCAAGTTTTTATTTAAGTCTTTTATTGAACTTTTAGTAACAACTGAAACGTCGTTATAATTTTTAGTAACAGTTTCGGGTTTTCGTGTAGTAAATCTTGTTGGTGTTCTTGAGCTACTGTAAGGTCTTATATGAACTACTGGCTGGTCTTCATCATCATCATCATCATATTCTTTGTAATTTTGTGCCATAGGAGGTCTCTGTGGTTTCACTTCGCTACTAGGCATATATTGTGATTTGACAGGAGGTTCGTAGTAATATTGTTCATCCTCTTCGTCGTCGTCATAATAGTAATCGTTCATTTCCGGAGAAGGCTTTGGAATAGGTCTCCGCTTAGGCGGTGATTTTGTAGAGCTACTATGGTGATCTCTTACTGTTGCAGAATAATAACTCTGAGTTTTGAGTGGCGTAGGTATTGTTGTATGAGAAAATGCATTTTCTAATTTCGGTATATCTGATGGTGATGGTCTAATCGATGACTGAAATGAAAAATACGATTCTGGCGCAGGAGAGGAATTTCCCCAATACTGTTGCAGTGCAGCAAGTTGTTCATTAGCCAACGTTGTCAACGGTTTGGGTGATGATTGTTTAAATGACATATATGTATTTTGAGGTTTTACTGACGAATACAAATAAGGTTTCGCTGTTGCCAACTGTTTTAACAAATTTTGTTTTGGTGTCGACAATAGTATAGGAGCTCCAGTTCCTGTGAGGAATACAACTGGTTTCTGTGTTACGGAAATTATTTGAGAGTCCTGCTCTTTTAAAGGATTACTGTAATGACTTGGGCGTATTTTACTTTCTATTGGGTGATCAAAACTATAACTTATGGGTAACTGACGGTCATCTTTAAAATTCGGTGGTTTCAGTTTTGGTCTAACAACATCCAGGGGTTGTCCTGCATTTTGATGTGGTACTTGGTATACATGTTGATTCAATGTCTGTTGTTGTTCTTGACCAATGTTTTGACGGTAATTGTGCGGCCTTTGCGTTAATTGTTCAGGAAGTACATTATGTTTGGTAGATGACGAAAACTTGTGATTGCTTTGAGTTGGTCGAACAGTTAAACTTATTTCTGCAGCTTCATTAAATGGTCTCGGTGTACTCATACCTTGATAATTTAATGTTGACGACCGCAACCCAGAAATTTGATTAGAGGAAGTCGTTATTTCTATTTGAGAAGCTTTTATCGGTTGGTTCTGATTACTGACAGCTTTTGGTGATGTTTGAGGTGTATAATATCCGCCGCTTAGTTTTGTTAAATAAGCATCAAAATCAAAATTAGGGTTCGCAAACGGGTTTTCTATATCTCTAAACTTGTAATGCGTGTATTCATAAGGTGGCTCCGGGAAATCGTGCTTGAAATCATGATCTGATTCATCTTCATCATTTTCTGATGTGTCATTTTCTGAAGACTCCTCTTCGGCTTCCTCGGACTCTTCTTCATCATTAACTTGAGTTTTATTATGGGGCGCACTGTGAACAAGTTTTTGATTTGATTTGGTCTTTAATGTGGGATGTTCATCACGTTGAACATATCGATTATATTTAGCAGTCGATGATTCAGTTCTATGCTTATTTTCTGCACGAGGCGATGAAGATATAAAAACAGACTTATCAGTAACTATACCACTAGGTAGATGCAGTGCATCCACAAAAGAAGAATATAGTGAAGAGGTGTGCCTGTTGTCTTGGTTATTGCTTTGTTTTGGATTATTATTATAAAAACCGCCTGCAAGAGAGGCAAATGGATTTTCATTATTTTTTAGTGCTGATATTGGCGGACTTTTAGTAATTATTTGTGTTGCTATATTTGCAGCATTATGTCTAAGCTTTTGTTTTGAAGGATCAGGTAAGCTAGGCTTAAATGGTCGCTGTAGCTGTATATTATCTAATTGATAAGATTGGTATGAGTTTGCTGCACCTAAGTCTATAATCGGTCTTTGAGACAATTCTGGTGAATTGTTGCTACCTAATCCATCATAGCTTGATGAGTGTCTTACATTTTGTATGTTAGGATTATAACTAAGGTGTCTCAAATCTACGAATTTGATTGGTTTTGGAGTTCCCCAATATTTTCCCGGTATTTTGTTACCATCTTTCAAATAATATCTGATCTGTCTTTTCCCTCTTTCCTTATCATCCTGTCCTCGTTCATCGCCATATGTAGGCATAGTTTCTGTATCAAATTCGATATATTCCATCTCTTCATCATTATTACTTCTTTCGGAAATACTGTCAATCGTAGAATTCATTTTTACAGCACCTATTTCACTCCCTACAGTTGTATCTCTTTTTTTCCTTATCATAGGCTTTTCTATAACTTCAGTAAGAACTATTTCGTTAGTCGCAATGTCAATTTGTCTGTCAAGATCAGAGTCAGTCACGTTGTTGTTTTTGTCTTCACTGAAATATAATAAGTCAAGTCAATATGTATTTTATTTTTCGGTCTTTTTTAATTTTAATATTCGTATAATTTACCTGTATATTTGTGGAGGTTGAGTTATTGTAACAGTTCTTCTTTCATCGACTCTTCTATCGTCAATTTGAGTGCCAAAAGAAAAGGAACCAATCTTGCCGTTATTTTGTGGAATAGAAGCAGGTATAATGTTAGAATTAAGAGATCTGCCTGAGTTGACTTGTGAATAACCATCTCTATCTTTTTGAACTTGACCGATTGTTGAAGGTTGCCCGCGATATACTCTTTGTTGTCTGTCGCTTTCGATTTCTTCTACAGGTGGCAGGTCGTCTACTTCAGCATAAAGTTGCTGTTGCTGTAAATAAAGTATCACAATATTATTAATCTAAGTTTGTTATCACGATAATTGGCGCATATGATCTACGATGGGGAGCTATTAAAACAAACGCTTATCATAAAACAGGTAAATAAAAATTGTTTATCTCGAGTTTCTCTACTATCCAGGAGCTATTTAAGCCTATGTTTCCAGCTGCAGCTGCAGTCGTTAAAACCCAGCAAAACGCAGTGCATCACCGTGGTGAGTCATGGCCCATCATCTTTATTTTATACCATCCCACTACTGGTGCACATGCTTTCCACAATCAAGGCATGTGCACCAGGAGTAGACTGCTGATGATATTATTAATTATAAAGTACCAATCATATACCGATTCACAATGTGTTAATTTGGAATCCAAAAAACTTTTCTTTGACATAATTTTTCCTAGATCAAACAAGGAGAGAGATTAGATTACCGAATCTTATTATATTTACATTAATACTGTAACGATAGATGAAGAAAATTAAAAGCCTGAAATTCATACCTTCTCGTATTCTTCGCGATTAAATTTCGGTTGACCTCTAGAAGTAACGACAGGATTGGGTTGTGCTCGTGGTGGCGGTGGAGGTGGAGTACGGCGCGGCGCTGGAGGAGGCGGTGGTGGATCCCTTTCCCTCTCGCTTATTCTTTCCAGCTCTTCGCCTCCTGGTGCGCTGACACCGTCACAGCCAACGTTCCTCGGCCAATCGCATGTCTGGAGCTCGTGACTGGAATTATTTAAAATTTAAACTTAACTTTGCAAGAGTACTTAAGATAGCCAAGAACTTATTATTTTTCCAAAATTTGATATATATGACAACTCTGTGATAACAATTTGAGAACGAGCATATCTTAGATTTACTTTTGTTAGACATTAACCTGTACATAAGGCCACCAGTGCATGATTCAAGTAAAGCGCCTCCGAACACGCAAACATAGTAGAGTGTGCAGTCGCTGGGATGGGGATAGTAGCCAAATTCTTCGGGGCAGTCGAAGTCAACGTCTCGCTTGATGTCAGCTGCTACCGGTACACTTCTGATGGGACCGGAACGCTGCCTCGAACGGTCTGACTGAGCGCCGAAACATTCTGGAAATAAGACCAATGAATATGAATGTTCCATTTTTTATTTAATAAAAGCAACAATAAGACAAATGAATAGAACGAACAGTGATAAAATAGATAATATAAAATATTTACTCAAAAGCTCATATGGTCTAATTTAATGTTAAAAATAAATTTAATTGCTGTAATTATTTCAAAAACTTTCCAAAGACTCTTTGTGAACCTTACAGCAACTGTGAGAATATAAGACGCGAGGGTATACAGAGGTTTATCTCATTTCGGAGACATACCACTTGGTCACGTTCACATTGTGATCACGAGTTGTGTGGGATTTGGGACATCGGACCTTTCATTTGCAGCTGCTCTTATATATTTAAGTAAATGTAATTACACGAAAATAATCCTGGTGAACATGATATTTGCATAACTATATTGAACTTTTAGATTTTGTTTAATAACAAACGTAGAATCCTATATAATTTTCCTTCTGTTTATAAGAGCATTTGTTAATATCAACAAAATAATAAAGCCTTCTTTAAATAAGTTTTTCTATTTTAAAAGGAAAGCAATTTATCCAATCTGTGAAGTTTATTCATGTTAGCTTCTTATGTAACGCTTATAATTTCATTAAAAAAGGCTGTTGACTCATAAATGTATTACAAATCAATCTTTAGAATATATTTACTCGTGTTACTGGTGTAGGAGACGAAAATAATTTTCTCTGTAAGGTAAATTAAGCAGCTTCAAAATAAACACCAGTCAGTGCGTGTCACAACTTAGCCTCGTATGAAACTACATCGTAACAATGGTATTAATGTTGTCATATCATCGAACAATAGTAACAGTAATGATCTAACAAAAACTGAATTTCCCACATATAGGAAATCCATGATAAAAGCAATTGTACCTATTGTCAATAAGTTTAACAACGTCAATATTACAATATTGTTCTTAAAATGTTTGTGATTAAATGTTAATGTTATTTGGAGTGGGTGTTATGCCAACATTCGACCGCCACGATACGTGCGTGACCGTCGCACGAGCACAAATCGACGCCTCAGGCTCGCACGCCATCATAATAATCATTTAAAACTATTAAGTCCAAACATATTTAGCGCATTGTTTTCGTGTTATTATGCAATTATTCATATCCTTAAAAAATAACGTAACTGACAGTTACTTGAATCGGAAAGGAAACTTTAAATTGTTTTTTTAAGTTGCAATTAATAATACGAAGTTTATGAAAATAAATATTCACATACCTATCACTCTGTAAATCGGAATGTTCCTCAAGTAACCAATAATCCTTGTAAAAGAATAACCAAACGAAGCATTACCGAACAACGAAATCGACCTACTTAATGTAATGGCCACCGCGTACCTCGGGTGCCTCATTAATCAATCGACTGATTCCTTGATCGTGGTCGGATGTCGCAAACCAAGGGTAATATGTCCGCAATTATTCCTCGCCAACCAACTTTGCTAATACAAGATATATAATAATAGCAGCCTGTGTGGGAAATGCTCGACAACAGACGATTTACTATCTGGGTATTGCGATATGACGTGTCGAAACACGTCTCAAAGTGAATCTAAATTCCGACTCTACTGTGTCAAACGCCTTCCTTAAATCGGTTTGTTTTTCAAAGATACGTCGACCCCTATGTTCATAAACGAGTTTCGTCCTTTTGTAACTTAAGTGATTCCGATTGAATTTCCATGTATGTGAAATCAAAAAGATGCTTTGAAGCTATTAAACGATAACTACAGGTTACTAGTGGGCGGCTGAATACTGGATATCGTCGACTATTGCAACACTTATTTGCATTCTACAACGATTTTAAGTGCATATACTCCCACAAGGAATGCTGTTCCAGAGGTCTAGATGAAAAAAATAAATAAAATGAAAATGATATATTTAATTAAAGTGTGTAACCTTAATTGTATGTACATAATATTAATATGCAAATTAGTTTAAAAGACAAAGCAAGACTAGAATATACGTTGTAAGTTATTTCAAACCGTGTACAAAAGCGATGTGAAAAGCAATTCACTTTGAGAAACAATTGACTTGGCCTCCAACACAAGGAGGCACTCAAGGAATATAACATTATGTGTTTTATAAAGTGCAGTATAAAGCTCGCAATATAATATTCATATATCAACTTGATATATTATGAGTGTAGGCTTTCCTGTCGGTCGGTCACTTAAAAGAGAGACATTAAGATTTTCAAGATGGAAGAGGATCATTGCCAGTGCACAACAGTACGTCCTTGTCTTCAGGATCGCGTGGGGAGGGCGGTCAGAATTATTGTGGGTGAAACTCCTAGAACAGACGCACAGGCGGATGCATGTGGACATTAAAATATTTATGATATCTTGAATGATACAAACTTTAATGTCACAATAACTAAAAGATCAAAGGCTACCTCAGACAACCGCTTAAATTTTCTAAACTATGTGCACATGCATAAATTATTGTTACAGCGTAAATTTTATTATTATTAATTTTTGTTCACGTCTTTAACTTGATAATGAATAATCATACATTTATTTTACATGATTTTGATAAATACTTATAAAAAAATATTTAATTTAAATTTTGTTAGAAGTATGAAGTGTAACTGTTATTTTTCGATACCCATACGAATAGCAACATCATTTAAGTAATTGTGCAAAGTATAAAAACTAATGAGTGTTAGCACATTGCATTAAGCTAAAATTGTGCTGTCAGGCTCAGGCGTGCCCTTTGCGCTGGCCTTTCGTCCACAATTCGTATCTGTGACCTATATCAGTTGAGCGAGCTGCCCATTTGCGGCTGCCCCGCACAATGTACACAATGATATGCTGAAAATCAAGACTGGAATAGCCTTGGACCTCTCACTCACAATAAAGTTATATTATATTAATATATAAGATCTAGGTTAGGAGCCCAGGCGTTTTGCATGTTAGTGAATGAATTGATGAAAACAAAATGTATGTTACCGTTTTTTAAATATGTTCAGTTTTCAGGAATTTTACCTATTTTAAGAAAGTTGCTGTATTTACAAATGCATAAGTTGGTTGGATATTTAGTGAAGAGCACATACACAATTATCGAAATTACACAACTTTGATTTATATTACAGTATAAAAATAAAAGTGTAATTATTTTTTTTTATTGTTGCAACTCTAATAGTTTGGAACATTAGTGTTGTAAGCGGGCCCCGGGTCATGAGCACAAGCAGGCCCGTCTCGGAATTTTTATTTAACGATAAAGTTATGTCCGAATTTATATATCATCGCCCTTCATAATCAAAAGAGCTATAATAATGATCATTATGTCCAAGTATTTTAGTAATTTATTATATTATAACAATTATAATTAACTTAATAGATTTACTTCATAAACCATTATCATCGAAACATTAATAAATACTAGTGTTTAAGCTTCGCATTTAAAATGACAATTTATAATTAAATTATAGCTTTTAATGAAAATTTCGTCTGGATCGGTTAAGTAGTTTAACCGTACAATAACAAAAAATAAATAAAAACCAAGACCCACAGCAGAACGAGGTCGGATTTAACAGCTTTATTTATAAAGAAATACGTACAGTACTTGTAAAATAATCATTTTTGGTATAGAGAAAGTTGCTACATAAGTAAAGATATTTTCCCCGATCAGTTTGTTCTCAGTACGATTGTCATAATATAATTTCAAGTGTCGGTCTGTTTCACTGGTTTGTTTGTATCGTTACGGTGTCTTCTTACGTTACAATTCACGATAACAATTACCGACCTCGCCTACGGTCCGTAACAACGCAGCATTTCACTTTTTTTTCTGATATAACCACTTTAAATTATGCGCGCGATATTTAGATAACTGTTCTATGTATTCCAAGGTCACCGCTGAAGGTTTTCTAATTGATTATCAGTTTTTTTTTCATTTTGTTATTTTTATGTAGTAGTAGTTGAGTATTTGCTTAGCATACTTTTTACTAGATATTAATTATCTTTTTACGTGGCATTTGTAAATAGGTAAGTAAGTGCTTGCTTAATAAAATCAATTAATGCGACATGGTGACACCTTTTCTTATAAATCTACATGTTCTTAAAAAATGTATCGAAAAGAAATATAGATAAAATTAACTTGTGTCTTTGTATTTCATTTCAACCACAATTAGTTCGTAACAACTGTAGAACTATTATTTTTTGTTTCTTAAATATAAATTTCACCAAACTACATAAAAGTTCTTTAGCTATAAATTACAGAACACCCTATAAGAAGTCTACATATTTCAAAAGTTTAAATTTGCGCGGAACCCACGATGTACGAATTCGACTTCAACTTGGCCGGTTTTTACCAACGACAATTTCACATTAACTTCGGAATGTCGATTCCACTCTGTGATTGGTTTAACCGTCATTTATTTGTAATGACATAAAAATATCATCTCAACGTTAAATGTAGATCAATTGCTTAACACAAACCTTGGCATTTGAATAATGTCACGATTGATTTTTTTGTTATATACAATAAATAGATCTATTAAGATGAAACTAGATCTGCTTCCAAAAGCAATTAATAATAATTACAGTGTACATTACCGCCGACACTTTTATCGAGACCTTGAAAAAGGCGATTGATTTTATTTATTGAAGTTCCTGGTTAATATTTGCACTGTCCGTATTAAATATTTAAATTACTGCCTGTAACATTAATTCATTCTTCCACATTTAGATGATTTTAATTATTTTAAATTCAAAATGAAGGTTAATTTAGATTACGTTTATCTCATCTCTTTTATGACACTAGTGCACCCATTGTACTTAATAATAACACTAAACTTGTAGTAATAATAATACTTTAGGATTCGTGAAATATTTATCAAAAAGAGTATTTTCAAGATTTTCAAGAAGAGTTGAGAGGAATCACTAGTTATTGAAGATATAATAGAACCTACTTATGTATACTTTATCTACGAGTATCACACACACTCACACGCACACACATACATACACAGATTACACACTCTCGTTCA